GAATTGTGGTGCTGGAGGAGACTCTTGAGAGTCCCCTGGACTGCAAAGAGAACAAACATATCCATTTTGAAGGAAATCAACCCGGGGTGCTCACTGGAAGGATAGATCCTGAAGCTGAGGCTCCAATACTTTGGCCATCTCATGAGAAGAGAAGACTCCCTGGAAAAGACCCTAATGTTGGGAAAGTGTGAAGGCAAGAGGAGAAGGGGACAACAGAGGATGAGATGGTTGGACAGTGTCATTGAAACTACCAACATGAATTTGACCCAACTATGGGAAGCAGTGGAAGACAGGAGGGCCTGGCATCCTCTGGTCCATGGGGTCATGAAGAGTTGGACATGACTAAGCGACTAAACAACAAACAACAGACTCTTACTGGGTACCCAGTGTAGTGTAGTGGAGAAGAGTAATGGACTAGGTTCTGCTGTGGAGACTCACCGGGGGCAGAGCCAGTAAAACCACTCCTCACTGACCTTGAAAATCTTATTAGGGTAAGTTCTGACTTGATGGCACATAACAACAACATCCCTTATTATCCTTTCCCATAGCCACCACATAAATATAGACATCAAACCCCCACAGCATAGGGATTTTGTAAGTTATTTGTGAGAATCTAGTTCCTTATTTTATTTATTTATGTAATTATTAGCAGCATTACCTTTAGCTGAATAGAAATGACTTGGTCCTACTGCAATAAAACACAGAAATCAAGTGGCAATATGGGGCTGATCTTTTAATAGGCAAATCGGAACCATGAGAATAATTAATTAATTAATTAATTAATTAATTAATTTTATTTATATCCCGCCCATCTGGTATATCATACCACTCTGGGCGGCTAATAATAATATGAGGACATGCCATGAATGCACAGGTTTGGAACTGAGGTGACTAAATGAACACCAGAAAACTGCTTTATAAATATGGAATGTGTACACAAGTGCTCTGCTACATAAAGGCTAGGCACTATATTAGTGAAATCATTCTTCTTCATAACACAAAGCCTAGCAATGACTGCATAAAATATTGCAAGCCTCTGAGTATTATCCAAACAGACAGGAATTTTTAAAATAAGGATGTTTTATTCATAACAAAAACATTAAATTTTACAATGCATCTCTTCCTTTACAGATTTTCATAAATTTTCACAAATATTTCACAAAGAAGACAAATAGGAAAATGTTGAGATGCCTGTGTTATATAACTAGGAGCTGAAGCTGAATTATATCTTGGAGTCACTTTTGATTTGGTAGTTCTTGAAATTGAGAGGGAGGGTGGCAGGATGAATTTTGTGTAGCATTTTGCTATGCCTAGGTTGGCTCTTTTGGAGTGAAGTCAGTGCAGTCTTACAGCTGATTTGAATTTGAGCGAGGCAGATTGTGTGGCCAGATGCATCCTTTGGTTAGACAACATATCCAGAGGTTAAGGAAGTGTGTATGCTTCACACAAAAGGAAGAACGTGCATTAGTACCACTTATCTTGAAAGAAGGAAAATGAGGAGGGATAGAGCAGGGCCCCCATTTTAGGATGTTGGAACATCTTCCTTTGAGTGACAAGGAAATAGGCAGAAATGGTCTGGAAAAGGAGGACCATGTTGGCAAAGACAGGCATGTCTTTTATCCTCCACCTTCTCCCTCCCTTGGCTACAGATGTCATTTAACTTGTTTGTGTATGGGAAGATAAGGGACAGAGACAGAACTGAGCTTGTCTGCAGAAGTATTAATCCATGGCCCTCCAACTATGCTCAATAGACTGCATACTGTATTTGTAAATAAGCACAAATATAACAAAACAGCTGTAAGGCTCCAGTGGCCTCATCACAAAGGTTACTAAGTAGTGCTGCTGCACCTCTAAACTTCTCACCACTCCAAGAGTTGGGATGCACAGTGCTAGCTGGTACTATTTAAAGAGACCAGATCTGCATATCCAGCTCTAAATCAATCAGACCCTCTAAAGAAGCAACTTCTGACCAACCAGCTTAAATCACTAAACTGCAACAAAGGAATGAGGGAGCTTTAGCATATGAGCTGATAGGGCAAAAGGTTTTCATCTGGTCACTAGTGTCCTGCTGGCTTTATCTCTAGTCAGTGATTAGAGATAAGGAATTTCCTCTTTCCCCTTCCATGGTGCAGTGAGCTTTTGAAAAAGCCTCCCTTGGTGCTAAAGGAGGGGGCATTTTAGGAAGAATGTCTCTGGGGAAGGTAAGGAATGACCTCCTCCAGATGTTCATTCTACCCCCACCCCCACCCTCCACTGTAATTAGGCATCTCCTCACAACAATCTAATGGCCATCTGGGCAGGCCAAGATGTTTAAAAAGGACAACAAAGGAATTTGTCCCACCAGTTGCTCTTTTATTGTTCATTATCAGTGCAGGGCAAAAGTGCAGCTTCCTTTCCCCAGGTAAATAATAAATTACCAAACACAACTGCCTATCCACCTTGCAAATCATCTAAAAAAGTGAAATACTGTACTCTTTTGAATCAATCAACAACCAGTCTTGATTGTTAAGTATATAAGTGACTATTTGATAGCCTGAGATAGGGACCTGGTTCCAAATCCCTTGGGAAAGAGCAAATTTAAAATATATATATATAAAAAGAAAAACATAAAGGAAAGGTTTCCTACACTCACAGTCCCAAAACATTGCAGCTTAAAGTAGTTGTTTCCTGCATTTGAGCACTGCTTCTTCCATAAAGCAAATACAAAGGACATGTATGCATAAAGAGTTACCAGCTAAGCCTACTCTGGAAATATACTGTACATTTATGCTTATTGATTGATTTCCCCATTCATAAATTGGCAACATGCCGTATTATCAGCTGAATTCCTCTTCCCACCATCTTAAGTTGCCTTGTATCATTAAGAAAACTTTCCTGCAGTAGCCCGTCCAAAATGGATATACTTTTGCCTCATTGGCCCAGATTTAGTACAACAAAATCTTAGATGTTCTATTCACAGGCCAGCTTCCCATCAAAGCTGGACAGGGCAATGGCAAAAGCTTGTACAGCACAAAGTGGGTAGTTGTAGTCCAGAGTAAAAGCATCATCTGCTACTCGGCCAAACTGCAACACGATGTAGTCAGCTGCAGGAAAGGAGATAAAATATTAGTTTAGCGGATAGACTAAGAGCTGATCTTCCTACAGTGCCAACAAAATAAAAATAATAATGACAGCTTATATTCCCTATGCCTTTCTAGACAGAAGCAGGCAAAGATGGATAGAGGAACACATAAACATGGGCTACACAGGAACTTTGCCATGCTCTTGATTTAGTACTGTAGTGCTGCTATCCATTCTGGAAGGAGCACATTGCCAAAACCCCAACCCAAGGATAATGATGCATCATGGGAAACTGCTGTGTTGACGTAGCTATGGACCCTACGTATCTCTGCAGCTGCTGCAGTCATTCCTGCCTACAGCACTGCAAGAGTGTGAGGCAAACCCCTGGCAGTTCACTGCTTGCACTGCGATGAGTTGCCCTTCTGATCTTTCTGGGGGGGAAATGCCTCTTAGCTCTCATGGATTTTGTCCTCCAAATGAAAAACCCACTCCCATGAAGGCAGAGGGTGTGGGGAAAAGAACAATGCACAAAAAGGTTGAAAGAAATTAACCATACCCAATTACTGCCATCTTTGTTGCATTTTAGTCTTTGCCAAAAAGCTCAATTCAAAAGACACTATTCTTGTGACACATGGCCTCTGGTTGTGCAGATACTACACCAAGAATGGGAGAGTTCAGTTGGGCTGAGGATCATTATTATTATTATTATTGTTTAGATTTCCTAGCAGTCTAAGGGCCACACTTTCCAAGTCAGGATGTGTAGCCATATGTATTCATTTGAAGTGAATACAGTTCTAATGTACTTTGGAGGTTGTTGTACAGTATAGCGTTTTCATTAGCAAAAAAATGAATTTAACTTTAAAAATAGAGGATTTTTTGAACCAAAAACATCCTCTCCAAGCCATCTAATGGCCACATTTTGTAGGTTTGTTTCTTTTTTAATTGGTGGGTTATGGGAGGTCCTAGTGATGCCCTCACAATAAGGAACAAAATTCCCACACATCCCCTGCAGATTACAAAGAGATAATTTTTGAGCAAAATTATTTTTCAGAAAAAAATTAACTTTTTCTTCCTGCCTGGGGTGGGTGAGCAGGGCAGCTGGTGGCTATGAAAATGCCCCTGGAGGGGTCCATATCTTACTCACCCCTGCCTTCTTTATATTTGAAGAGGACCTGAGTGCTGCTAAGATGTTATTACCCTCAGAAGTGGTCAGAGCCAGGGTGGGGTGGGGGTGGAATTATTTTTCTGCACATTTTCAGGCTTTTCTTCCACCACCAAGGCTAAGCACATCGCATGCAGTGGAACAAAACTATTTTATTCAGGACACTTCTGTTGAAATGCTGTGAAGCAGAGAGTATGATGGGGCTGAGGAGAAGATCACAGCAGAGTTCAGAAGTTGACCAGCCACCTGCTGGGCAACGCATCACTGTTTCTTCAACAGAGCGACCAAATCTGTACGCCTCTTTTTTCCAACGGGGTGGACAGGGCTCAAGAACCAGTATGTGCTGCCTCCCCCAAGAGACCTGCCCCTTCCCCAGAATTCCTAATCAGGACAGTTGTAGCATTCTAGAGGTCTCTCTCACTTAATTGCCTTTGGTCGTGAACCTCTTTTGTTACCAGTGGGTGTAACAAGAAATCAGTAAAAATAACTGGGGCCCCCGAGCAGGTTCTTTCTGTCCTGTAATCCTATATCCCAGACATTAACATCCCCATGATTGGGCTGGACAGGTGACAAGCGGACAAGTCACATGTTCTGGGGGAGAGAGGGAAAGAAACAAAACAAAACCACCCTGCCTGGCTGTTTCTCTTTGCTGCTCTGAGATGAATTCCATAGAGCACCCGCAACTCAAGCAC